GTTTGTTTGATGACCCAGACCCCTGAGGGTCGGGTTTTGATTGAACGCACACTTGTGGCGTGCGTTTGTTTGATGACCCAGACCCCTGAGGGTCGGGTTTTGATTGAACGCACACTTGTGGCGTGCGTTTGTTTGATGACCCAGACCCCTGAGGGTCGGGTTTTGATTGAACGCACACTTGTGGCGTGCGTTTGTTTGATGACCCAGACCCCTGAGGGTCGGGTTTTGATTGAACGCACACTTGTGGTGTGCGTTTGGTTGTTTGAACAGACCCTTGAGGGTCTTGTTTTGACTGAACGCACGGTTGTGGCGTGCGTTTGAATGATTGAACGTGCCTTTGGAGGTCACGTTTTGGGACGCACTTTTGAGGTGTGCGTCTATGTTGAACAACGCGCCACTGAGGGTCGCGTTTGAGTTGAATAACCCGAGGCTCATAGTCGGGTTCATTGCCACGAAGTGTGCGTTCTGGAGCAGAAACGCACAGTTCGGGCACAAGCTCAGAAACGCAGTCTTTGCGTTGTGCAGTAGCTTGGCTGTTCCGCAAGTATGCTCGCCGTAAGGATCTTCTCCTTCGTCGAGCAGCATTTTTCTTAGCCTGTTTCAAGGCCTTGGCCGCGGCATCGTCGGCGTTGGTTGGGCTTTCCTCCGACATAGGTCTTTTTTGACCTATTATTTGCCGTAGTGATACGGGGGAGGAATCTTCAACTCGCAGAGCGAGTTTAAGGTCTTGGCCAAAGGAGAGGGCTTTCTTTGGCATCTCAGCAGTAGTGTTGACCTCCGTAGAGGTCCTGTGGGTATCACGCCTAGCTTTTGGGCTAAGGGACCCAGAGGAGAGGACCTCCTCATACTTGGCTTGGTCGAACTCTACGACGAGAGTTTCGACGGTGGTTCCTGTAAGGTGAACGTCGGATTGCGCCACCACTTCCTCGTCAGAGAAGCTAGTCCCCAGCGGAGTCGCCATCTTTTGTTTGTTGGAAATTTGATGTAAAAAGACAAAGAAAGAAAATTTGACTTGTATTCTCTCAAAATCGATTACAATTTGGATTCCGATTACAAAAGAGAGGAGAATGAATTTGATTCTCCCCTTTGTTTAAAACTGGGTTCTTCTTGGTAGCGGTGGAGTGCCTCCTTCGATTGATCGCGTCGAACTTGCTCTCCGTTGACGATCCGACCGTCCTTCTTTACTGGAACAATTGAAGTGCTTGATGACTTCGGTTTAGAACTCTTAACGAGTGTAAAGAACTCTGAACGAGTTAAGAACTCTGATAAGAGTTGTTGAAAACCGAATGTCTGGTTTGATGTGATTAACTTGCGTTGCAAGCTAATTAAGAACTCTTAACGAGTTTAAGAACTCAGAATGAGTTAAAACTCTGTAACAGAGTTGTTGGAACCGAAAATTCGGTTAATTGCCAAGTGGATGATACCTTTGATGAAAGGATCCTTCGGGATTTGATTAACTGATCGTTGATCAGTTCCTTGATCTCCCGAAGATCTCTTCCTTCCGATTACTCAACTGCCGAGATTTGTTGACCTTGGGTGGTTTTGATACCAGCTCCCCTCAACTCTTTGCGGTTTTGATCTCAGAAACCGATTGATCAACCTATCAACCCGCCAACCCCTTACTCAGTTGAGTAAGTTGGTTATTTATAGGGTGATGTGGAGTGTAACCAACCCCTATTTCCGCTCCTTTGTGGGCGAGAATCCCTCAGAACGTGGGATAACGGTTTTGAGGCCGTTCGACTTGCGTTTGAACAAGTCAAAACGCCTCAGTTGGCGTTATGGGCTTTAACTCTGCGTCCAAGGCTTGAGACGCAGAGTTAAATCTCTGTTAGAGATTTGAGACGCACAGGCCGTGTGCGTTGAAGCTCAACTCTGCGTCCAGAGTTTGGGGCACATAATTGAGTCTATTGAAGAACGCACGTTATGTGTGCGTCTTGTACTTTAACTCTGCGTTACAGAGTTCGATGTCTGCTGAGGAACACACAAGTGTGCGTTTTGAACTTAGGAAACGCAGGAATGACTTTCTGCGTTTGAGAGAGGTTGTTGACTTGTAACCTCATCCATTATAACATTGCAAAGGCTATTGTTTATTGATCCTTGCCTGTTATAGGATATGAGAGTCGTCAGATTGTAACTCTCACTGTTGGTTGCGAAGGATGCAGAATAGAGTTTTCATCAGTTGTCGGAAGCGTCGTCGAATTGTAACTCTTCTCGATCTACGTGAAAGGTCCTCTATTTACCGCTTTCGATTGTCGACCCGAAAGCTATTTGATTGTACCTTTCGTTGTTGGAGTTAGACGGGAATCAACATCCATAGTGTTTTGAAGATGAATATTTGCCCATAGCTCTCTACCAAGCAACTCACCAACTAAGTCCAACCTTTTATTTCTAAAATCATTACACTGCTCATCAGCATCTCTAATAGTTGCTAATATTGTATTAGTCATGTTGTTGTCGCAGCCATCAAGATCAGTCCTCTCAGAGATGAGGCCGTGTTTATAGCGGTTGCAGAATTGCGGATGCAAAGATCAGAAAGTCGTCTGATTGTAACCTTCATTATCAGGGCTTGATAGGGATCGACTGTCTATTGTGATTTTTAGACAGCCTACAGATGGCGGTTTGGTCTCCAAATGAGAGATTACTGGTTTCGAGAGTGTAGACCCAAACCTGGATCAAAATCAACAATTCTGGAAAACTCAGCATTGATTGACCAACACACATGGATTGGTCGACTGAATCGAGTGCAGGAAACTGAACAAAAAACCCCCACTCTGGTCGGTCGACCGTAGCAATGGCCTCGGTCGATCGAAAACGTGCACAAGATACCCTGTAGAAAACAGAGTTCTAGACGGTCGACCGATGAGATAATATCGGTCAACCGACGGTGATCAACCAGTCAACCGATGAGATGATATCGGTCGACCGAAGTCGGGTTAGGCGTTTTCCTGGTTCGGGTTGGAATCTGTTTTTGGGCTGTGTATATATATGTTTCCTAAAATATTTTTAAGGTTATGTGAAGACGTTTTTGAGAGGGTTTGATGGCACTTTGAGGTCAGAGATCTTAGAGAGAGAGTGGCCTATTGTGAGCATTATAATCTTCTTCAATTAATCAAAGAATTTCTGGTGTGGCTCCTGAGGATGTAGGCACATTCCCAACCTCGTTAAATCTGGTGTTTTCTTCTTTTGCTTGTTCTTTCCTGCAAGTTTTCTTTCATTTGATGTGATTTATTGCTTACCTACTTTCGACACAAGATTTGGAAGGGCATGGGTTATCGTGTGTTCAACCCCAACATTCAAGTCCAATGAAGACCGATGTTTCTTTAAAGCCGCGAGAAGTAATTCAGCTTATTTGGTATGGCTTTTTTTTCTATTCCTTCTTAGATAATTTGTATTTGATTCACTCAACAACAGTTCCTTCATAGAATTTGTATTTGATTCACTCAACCACAGCATCAAGCATTGAGAAAGCTATGCAGGCTGAAGCAATGGATTTAAGAGATTCCTGAATTGGCTCTCTATATTGTTAGCTCTACAAGTGTTAGAGATTATTTAGATAGATTTTTGGGGTGTTGATTTTGAACTAGTAATTGAGAGATTTTAGTATTGTATTCCTCATAATTTGATAGTAAAGATAGTCTCCTCGTTCACCAATGGACATAGACTAAACATTAAACCACATTTAATTGTGTGTTATGTTCTTGATATTTTCTATGCTTTCACGTAATTGATATTTTTTTATCCTAGAGGTTTGTCATAATAAATTGGTATAATAGTCTCAGCTATCAATCAACTACCATGTGCTAAGATGACTTGAATGAATTAGAAATTTATGGTTCAACTCTTCTACAGGAACAGAAGGAGTAGGAAAACACTATTGCTAGAGTTGATGTTTGAGTTTATTGGATTAGGAAGCGATGGATTAGACTTCATATGAGTAATTTTAGATTGGCTATATGAATTCTATTGATAGTAGAGATAAAGACAAAATCTTGTTGATTAATTGAGAACCAAACAAGAATATGGTTCCTTATACTATTCTAAGACTATTACGCTGTATAAATAAATCAACTAGGGAGAACTTTAGTGACTTCAAGTATTGAGAAAGCCTATGGGGGCATAAGCAAAGCAATGGATTCAAGATGTTTTTGAATTGTCAACAATGAGAAGTAATTCAACCTATTTGATATGACTCTCTTTCTATTCTCTGTTTTGAGAAAAATTGTATTTGATCGATCCACCCAACGACAGCATCAGGCATTGAGAAGGCTATGTGGGCCGAAGCAAAGCAATGGATTCAGGATGTTTTTGAATTGACTCTCTATTTGGTTGGTTCTACTACTGTTAGAGATTATTCCGAGAGATTTTTGGGACGTTGATTTGGGATTAGTGATTGAGAGATTTAACCATATATTCTTCACAATTTGATGGTAAACCTATTCTCCTCCTTTAGCCGTGGACGTAGGCTAAAAGTCGAACCACATATTTTCGTGTGTTATTATCATTCTCGATATTTTTCTATGCTTTCGTGTGATAGATATTTGTTTATCTTGGAGATTTTTCCTTACATAATTATATCCTACATTGTTGACAAGTAGATCTATTATAAATATTACAGGACCAATCCAGGTTATTTGATGATCCAAGCCAAATAATCAGTTTCATCTTTGATTTTCAAATTATTAAAATTCAATATTTATTCCTAGCAATGATATTACCTCTTAAGAATAAAAATGTACGAGCTTGACTATTCTCTCTTACTTTTTTAGCCTTTGGATCTCTATATTAATACTTTGAGATTAGTACTAATAAATGGAAGATAATTTGTAGGCTATACAAAATCCTTAAATATGTCACATACATGTCAACTTACGTTAACGTCTCTCTATTTTGCTGTAAAATTTTTTGTTTGTAAAACTCTTAATTATGCATGACAGTTTTTTGTGAAATACATGCTTTAAAAAGTTGCCCATAACCTATATTGTCTAAACTTATATATGTAGGTTAAATGAGTGCAGAGGATCACAAGAGGTGAAGAAAGAGCATATTTGTGGTCGACCACTAGGATTACAGTTCAACAAGATGACCAGAGATCTTTACATTGCCGATGCATATTTTGGGCTAATGATAGTTAGTGAAGGTGACAAATTTGCTAAGCAAATTGTTACACAAGCACAAAATACTCCTCTTAAATTTACCAACGGTTTGGATATAGACCAAGACACTGGAATTGTCTATTTTACTGATAGCAGCGCTCGCTTCCAAAGGAGGTAAATTAAATACTTGTCTTCCTCTTTCTTTCATGAATTTTCATGCTCTGATCTAACATCTTAAACTGTTAAAGGTTTTTATTTGTTTATTTATTTTTTACGAGATGGGCAACTCCCCCCTTCAAAGGATTGCTGAATTCATCACCTATCATCCCATTCATATTTCATGTATGAGTTGAATATTGTTGTTATGTTGTTAGTTAAAAGTCAAATATTTAAGAAACTGACAACGTGACTATGTTTTCTGCATTAATTTCTTATTTTATTTTTTTCTTTTTCTTTTTTGTTTATAAATTGTATTTCTTGTATTTGCTGCAATTTTAGAGATAAATTTTCAACTCCAGAAAAAGTAGATGTATAAAAAAGTTTCGGGATATCGATTTTTTTTGGTTTGGAACGAATTAATGGAGACAATCAGTTGCTTGAGGCCCATACACATAGTCTAGCTATAAGTGTTAGTTTCTAAAATTGTTGACTAATTCAAGAAATTGACAGAGAAAACATATTGATAGAGATATCGGGGGACAAAACCGGAAGAGTTCTAAGCTACAACCCACAAAACAAAGCGGTCCGAGTCCTACTCAACGGCTTATCCTATCCCAACGGCGTAGCATTAAGCAAAGATGGCTCCTTTCTCCTCATTGCAGAAACATCAACTTGCAGGATCTTAAGATACCGGCTTCAACCAAACAAAGACAAAAGAGCCCAGGTTCTTACTCAGCTCCCAGGGTATCCTGATAACGTAAAGCCCAGCCCGAGAGGAGGGTTTTGGGTTGCACACTACGAAAGGAAATCAAAATTCATGGAGTGGGTTATGTCTTTGCCCACTTGGGTAAGAGAATACATCATTCTGTTGCCCTTGGATGTAATTACTAAGATTTTCTACAAGTTTAGCGAGTGGCATGGAGAACCTTTGGCTATGAGGGTAAGCGGAGAGGGTGAGGTTTTAGAGCTCCTGGAGGATTTTGGTGGGGAGATAGTGAAGTACATAAGTGAGGTAGAAGAGCATAATGCAACTTTGTGGATTGGTTCTGTCGTAATGCCTCATGTTGGTATTTATAAGCTTTAGAGTGTATATATATATGCATGTATAATAAATGTCGTTGAGGTATTATATATCAAGAAGTCAGCTACTTATGGGTTCAGATTTTCTAAATCCTTGGTTATAGAGATATTCTACTGTCGGTTATGTGGATCAATGGTAGTGTCTTATGTGGTGGGTCTCACCATTTCAAGACTTTTCTATATATATAATCTATGTAAGGAATATCATTCATGAGGCTTAATTAGTGAGAAGACGTGATTGCTAAATTTTAGAAGTTCTCTACAACCAAGAATGTAGAGGATCATACCATGTGATCGTCAATTAATTAATCAACTTGATTCACTCTTTTGTCAATCGTGAGATATCTTCGATATCTCTACCTATATATGTGCGCTTTCTTTAAGTTTCTACGTTTATACTATTGCGCTAAAGGCCCTTCTTAAATGAAAATGTATACTCCTTGTTAAAGATTGTCGATCATGTAGGTAGCATTTAGTATTATTGGCTTCCTATTTGACAAGCGTACTATGTAACTTAAAGAATATTATATTCTTGTTAATTATCAGTGGAATAGCATATTAATTCTCTATTTTTTTCAGAAAATAATCCTAACTCTAATTGAGTCTTGATCTAATAAAGAAAAAGAAAGAATAAAAATGAAAGCAAGTAGAATACATATATATAGCACATAAATAGTTGATTAATGCAAAGCATGATATTGCTTAAAGAATGTTTTGTTTATCAAAGTAACTTATTCCACTCGCTGGTAACCTTTTGGACTGTTGCAAGCAAGCTAATCCAGGATAAAAGGCAAAAAGAAATAATTGAATAAAACAAATTCAAAAAGGTAAGTAACAAGTGAGTGCAATTAGCAATTAAGTACCAGGATGAATGTTTGAGGTATTTAAATGGCTAAATATCAGAAAACCCCCATTAACTTTGGGCGATTATCAAATAATCCCCCAAAACTTTAAAAATATCCCCTTAAGTTTAGGGGCAGTTAGAAAACCCCCTTTAACTTTAACATTTTATCAGCAAAACCCTCCTAGCAGTGTTAACATGTAATTTTTACATTAAAGAGCAAAATTACACGGAGTACTTTTGCTGGTGAAAATTGTAGTTCTCACTTTTAGGGGGCTTTTCTAAAAAAATGTTAAAGTAGTCGAAGGGGGTTTTCTAATAACCCCTAAACTTAAAGGTGGTTTCTAATTAAAGCTATGCGGGGGTTTCTTGATGATCGCCCAAATTTAAAGGAAGTTTTCTGATATTTAGCCTATAATGATGCTAGCTAGCCAATAAATAAGTAGCTTCCTACAATACAATGGTATATCTCCAATTAAACCCTATATCAAAATAGCAAAGTTTCAAAGCCTGAAAGGCCCAAAAGAACTACAAATATACAATCAACCGTGCGCAGCTAGCAACAACTCAATTTAATTATACATTTCCGAACAATTATGACACACGCAGCATTTAGTTAAATAGTCAGCTTCATAGGATAGAGAAAGCACCTAATACAATATCCTGAGTTTCGAACATTGATAGAACTAGAAATTTACTCCCCCAAGATGAAGCACAAACTTGTATACTTTTCAATTTCCCTACCATCCTTCTGTATCATAGTCTCCATTGGCCGCTGCAAGGCCCTGAGACCGCCGATCATCCTCGATGACCATCCATCGTGGACGACAGAACTGATCCCGCTCCCCGATGGCTTAACGGGGCTGGAGAGCTTCGCATTCGGCCGGGACGGCGTGGGGCCTTACACCGGCGTTTCAGATGGCCGGATTCTCAAGTGGCATGGCTAGGCGAAGAGCTTGGATGGATGTAGCATGCTGTCGTTACTCCTCAGGATCTGCAAGTTCACTGCTTCAATATTCTGGTGTCAGTACCAAATGGGGAATGGAAGCTTCTAACTAACCTACTATCAATGAGATTTGATTAAAGCCATCATAGACTTGAGTCCAACGCTAATTTTAGTCCAAACATATGGTGCAAATAAATTTCTCACCATTCCTTTTATTAAATTTCTAAACATGATATTGTGCTCCTTTAGTTATTCCTTCTTTTTCCTTAACTTGCCCTTCATTAGTGAACTCCCGAACGCAGCGTTAAGTTTGGCTGCCTTTCCCTTCGTTAGTGAGCTCCTAATTATAAACACAGTGTAAAGTTTGGTTGCCTCCCCCCTAACTACGTACTTTAGTAGGTACAAAACCTTCTTATATTTGATTGAGAGTTCTTATACATAAGCACCTGAAATTGTTCTGTTTCTACTAATTAAACCCAGTGAAGCTGTCTACTTTAACCCCCTAAATTAATGCCATCGAATCTAATTGGTTACGACCCAAGCACAAGACGAAAACGAAAACACCGGAAATTTTAAAAAGAGCAAATGCCTGCTTTTTAGCGTTAAGAGTTTTTTTTTTTTTTCTTTTTTTCTTTTTGGTCACATGCTTGAAACGTGACACGTTAGACTTCCTGATATTAATTTGGAAATTAAAGTATAAATTTTTTTAAAGAAGTTTAGCGGAATAAAAGAAAGTGTAAGGAAGTAATATGAAAAATCTTTAAAGTTAAGGAGTGTTTATTTTTAAGGAGCAATCCTATGTGCTTAGACGGTTGTTTTTGAAATAATAAAAATGATCATTGGTTGTTTTTGAAATAATAAAAATGATCATGTATGTTTGTTATAGGGGCGGGTCAAGATTTTATCCTGTTCCATGTGCCTGTTCTCCAAATCCTCAAATTATCTACGGTGATTAGTTTGTAAGTTGAAATTATCTCCAAATCAGAAAGAGGTCCTATGTAGATTTGGAGAGCCACAACGCTGTTTGTAACTGTTATAAATTATTCATAGTTATCAATTCAACACATCATAGAATAAACAATTAAATTTTGGTTTCTACACATATGGAGCTCATACTTTAATTATGCATTAAAAACCTAAACCCTAATCAAATCTCTTTAATGGGCTCATATTGATTGATAGCACATAATACATATTTATTTAATATATTGGCCTATATATTGGATTTAAACCCAACAATCTCCCACTTGGGCCATATATGTTACTATATAGATAAGAATTATGATATAACCTTATGAGCTCATGAATTTTGCTATTAAACAAAAATGCAATCCTAACAATCTCGTCTATCACTTATACCAACATCGGATCAAAGCGATCTTCATTGTATTTGTCACAACTAGACCCAACAATGGTCACATATATCAATACAACCAACAACACAAATCAAGTATGGATGTGTAGCATGAAAATTTAATGTATTGTGATCTTAACATGTCTATTTCCAACTGTTTCACCTTAAAATCTTAGTGAGATCAAACCATACCAAAAATCGGAGTGAATATGAACTGGATACTTTACACTGCAGTAAATATCCATATAATAACCATAAAATCATAACAAGTGTGTCCACAAATAAAAGCATCTAAAATACAAACTCCTACGAAAATGACATTTCCTGCAGAGATAGAACACCCATATGAGCTATGCTCATGAAAGACCTTGGGTTGTAATCCCTTAGTCAGCGGATCCGCAATCATGGAGCTTATACCAATGTGCTCTATAGACACAAGTCCACTCTGAACTCTTTGTTTAACAGCTAGGAACTTGATGTCTATATGTTTCGACTTCTTCGAGCTCCTGTTGTTGTTGGAATACAACACTGCTAACTTATTGTCACAAAATAACTTAATTGGCCTTTCAATGTCATCCACAATTCACTGCCCAATGACAAAATTTCGCAGCCATATTCCATGATTAGATGCCTCATAGCATGCTACAAACTGAGTTGTCATGGTGGATGAAGATATGAGTGTCTGCTTAGCACTCTTGCAAGAGATTGATCCTCCAGCAAGCAGGTAGATATAGCTAAAGTAGATTTCATGCTATCATGGCATCCAGCAAAATCAGAGTCAGAATACCTAATGATCTCTAATTGGTCTGATCTCCGATACATGAGCAGATATTCTTTTGTTCTCTACAAATATCTCAAGACTCGCTTGGCTACTTGCCAATGATCCAATCCAGGATTACTTAAGTATATGCCCAACATTCCAACCACGTACGCAATATCCAGATGCATACACACTTGAGCATACATTAGACTTCCTATTGCTAGCGCATAAGGAATATGCTGCATCTCCTTAATCTCAAACTCATTCTTAGGATATTGATTAAGACTGAATTTATCTCCTTTGTACAATTAGTACAAACTTCAAAGTTCGTAAAATCAAGGGGATCTAGAATCTCGTCTGAAACAAGTCTCTTAATTCTCGTTTTGGAGATGTAACCTAATCTCGTGTGCCATAACGAAGCGGAATTCTCATGGGTCAATTTTCTCTTTACACCTCGAGTGCTTAATTGTAAGGTTTCACGATATGAAGTAACCGTACTAAACAAATAAAGATTATCAGCATAAGATAAAGAACCGATACCAATTAAATTTGAATTCTGAAAAGACTAAGTTTACCATTTTAAAAAAAACAAAAGTAACCAAATTTATCCAATACAGGAATAGAAATTAAATTCCGTCTAAATGACGATACTAAATAAGTCTCTTTCAAGTCCAAATAACAACCGGACTTTAACAATAACCTAAATGTCCCAATTGCCTCAACTTCAACCTTCTTGTCATTGCCCACATAGATGTATATTTCACCATCACTAGGCTTTCGGCAGCTCAGGTAACCCTGCATAGACACACTGATATTAGTTGTGGGAGCAGAATCTAACCCACTGCGTGTGTCTAGGTACCGAAGATAAATTAACCTCAGAACAAACAAAATTAAAAGTGTACATTTCTTTGCATGCCATGCGTAGTAGTTGGTACAATTTTTCTTCTTATGTCCTACAGCCTCACAGAAGAAACACCCAACTCCATTATTTACTTTGTGTTGTTTTTTTTATGGTTTAGCTTCTACAGCTTCTTTATTTTTCATTCTTTTCTTCATTTTGTCCTTGGAAGTACTAGCCAAATGAGCATTTTCTGTCTTTTCTTGCTTTAACCTTTCCTCTTCTTGCACAATGTGAGTTAAGCTCATTAAGAGATCAAGTCTCCTTTTGGAAATTATATCTCACTTTGAATTGGCTGAATTATGTGGGAAGATATATAAGAACCAAATGCACAAGCAAGTCCTAAGAGAGTTCAAGCTTAAGTGCTTTCAGCTTTGAAGCAGTATGAGACATCTCCATGATGTACTCCTTAATGTTCCATTTCTCCTTGTATCTCATTGAGATAAGATTTACCAAAAGTGTACTAGTTTTATCCTTTTCATTGTTAGCAAATCTTTTCTTAATGTTCTCAAGGAATTCTTTAGCAGTAGTTATCTTCTCAGACATAGTTCCCTTGAATACTTATGGAATGATCCTCTTCATGATCATCATACACATACCTAATCAGTAAACACTATACTCTCTAGAAACACACACAAAGGACGTTTGGGGAAAACCGAACCCTTTGGGGTTGGTTTGGTCGGCTCCGTCTCGTCGAGATAGTTGATTTTCATATATAATTAGTCCGATGCTGACTTACAGTTTGAAAGTTATGACCTGTTCTTTGATGCATGTTTCTGAAGCTCACCTAAAGGCTGAAGCTCGCCAGAAAAGGGTGAAGTTTGCCTGTAAGGAAGTCCGTTTGCAAGGCTAGAGCTCGCCTGAACATTGGAGCTAGCCCGAACTAAGCGAAGCTCGCCTGCACAGCTTTGCCTATGAGGTTTGCCCGCATAACCTCGCTTGTCAACACTCGGAGCTCGCCTACATAGCTCAACCCGCCTGACAGCTTGAAGGTCGCTTGCATGACCCAGGCTCGCCTAAAGGACAAGCTCGCCTGATAGCATTAAAGCTCGCCCGAATGAGGTTCGCCTACACGGACTCGCCTGCACAGCTTGCTTGCATAGCCTCACCTGAAGACCTAGCTCGCCTATATGATCCAGGCTCGCCTGAAGGCCAAGCTCGCCTGTAGCACCCAAGCTCGCCTGCATGCCAAAGCCCGCCAAGCTCGCCTGCACGAGCAAACTCGCTTGCAGACCCAAGCTCCCCTGTAGACTCGCTTGCTCCCCTGAAAGCTAGCCAGCTCGCCTGACAGCCCAAGCTCGCCTGCAATATCAAGCTCGCCTGCACAGCTAGACCAAGTCAACCACTTGAGCTTAAAACGTGGAAGTGGGTGCACCCACTCCCCATGATCTAAGGGATGGAGTATGGTTCTCCTCGCCTCTAATGGTCACATCCCAAGATTTAAGGGATGGAGTTATGGTCCCTCAACCACAATCCCACAATTTGAGAGAGTGGTCATGCTTCTCCTCCAATATAAATAGCCAAGGATGGCTATCAAAAGAGAGGTCTTGAACTCTTGATCAAGACCGAACCTATTTGGCTCCTTGGTAATCAGTTCTCTTAAGCTCTAAGAGAAACAAGTCTGGATTTTTGCAAACTCCTTGGCGATCAGCTTGTTCGTGATCTTGTTCGAATCCTCAGCTGAAGAGGACCGAACTTTGAGATCTCGGCATACTTAGGCTCCGAGCAATCAAGCAATTGCTCGTCCGTCGAACTCATCCAATCGATCTTCTACTGCGTACTGAAGCTCCAACCATAACGTCGATCGGATCATCCAAGGGAAGCAAACTCGACATGAGTACCGAGGGAGGCATCCTACCGCCGCCAACGAGCCCACGTTAAACAAGAAGGGTCATTCCCTTCTCCTCTGTTATAAACGTTTGATTCTTAGTTTGCAATAAACCATTCTTATAAATACAAATGAACCCTCAAGCGGGAGATCGAATTTTTACACCCTACACAGTTTCGTCCTCTCACGTGTTTCTATATGTATAGGCTTTTCAGCAACCCAACTCAGGACCAGATATTCAGGGAAGAAAGCGACGAAAATAAATAAGAAAATTAAAAACAAATATCATAATAAAAAAAGTAATATTATAGGAAATACATCTCATGTATCCCCATATGATATTGGAGTGATTTATTATTGATTAATCAATAGAATCCAATGGTGAAAAGAGATATGTGTAACTAAACTAATTACATCCTAGATGTATTGTAACCCTACACATACTATGCGTTGCTTTATGCACTGCTTTCTTATGGGGTAGCAAAACTCCTCTTATATCCAGGAAAAGTATCTATTATGACAAACAATAGAGTGGTTTGGGAATATTATCTACAAAATACTGGAATTATGTTGTTGCCATCAAACTTTTATGGATGATACACTGAAAAAAGATCTCTTATGGATAAAGTGGATCCATAGCAACTGCCTAAAGCATTCAAACATATGGCAAGTTTCTATGAGGTTAAATGACTCTTGGATGTGGAAACAACTACTAAGAGTAAGAGACACGGTGATACAATAGATGGGTAGTGTCAATAATTTGCTAATTGTTATTAATTCATGCTGCAATGGTGAAAAACTCCAGTTCTCCTCTGTTTACAAAATTTTGCTCCCATATCTTCTAAGGTAAGCTTGTACAAATCTGTTTCGGGGGGTTTCACTACCTTAAATATTCTTTCATTTTATGGCTAGCCACACAATCAAGATTTTTTACCCAAGATAGGCTATGTCGTATGAGAATGCTGGATACAGATCAATGTGTCTTATGTACTAATCAGCAATTAGAAACTCACAAACATTTGTTCCTTGAATGCCAATACTCTATGAATGTTTGGAACGATATAATGGACTGGTTGGGATTTGCTTGTAGATCATGCAATTGGGATCAAGTGATAAACTGGTTTAGCTCCAATATGAGCAGGGATAGCTTCATGAAGAAATTCAAAAGAATGGCTCTATCTGTAGCAGTTTATATGTTATGGCAAGAAATGAATATGAGGATTTTTCAGCACAAAGCAAGAGAGTCAAGACTTTGCTTCATGCACTGAAGACCTCAATTTCCCTATTATCCTAAACATCAAAAATCCTGATCATGTACAAGAGAGAATAGAGTTTGTAATTAGAAGTTTTTCTCTTTAGTTGTATTCAGATTTTGTTATCTGGAAATACTTTGATGTAGTATGAACTCACATTTGGAAAATGTATACATTTACTTCCATTGACCAAAAAAACCCTACCCATTTTAATTGATTTATGCGTTTCTTTTTCTTTCTGTTTTTTCTCCAAGGAACTTTGGCTAGTATTTATGTGCTTTATTACCCTAATGTTATGATTGTTAGATATTTTGTTAAGAAAAGACAATTTTGTCTTGTAATAAAATTTTATAATTAAAACATGTTTTAATTAGCAATTAAAAATATGTGTAACAGCTATATAATTATGGGGAACGTTACAAAATTTATGACGAACGTTACGGAATTAATTACGGGGGCTATATAATTATGGGGAACGTTACAAAATTTATGACGAACGTTACGGAATTAATTACGGGGTTTGTAACGTCTTTTTCAATACAATATATATATCCGTATGTTGAGCTCAAAATGATAAGAAAAAATACACAACAAGTTTCTCTTGTTTTTCTTCTCTCCCCTACATATTATTTTTATCTACATCTTAGTTTTATTTTATGGGCAACTTCCTTCATCTGAGCTGAAGCTCTGCACTCTCGCCCAAGTGCAGAGGCCGGCCGTTTCCGGGGGCTTTTACCGCTAGGGGGAGGGAACCATCTGCGCCAGGGCGATCGTTTCCGGGGGCTTTTACCGCTAGGGGGAGGGAACCATCTGCGCCAGGGCGATAGGCGGGTTCTCAATTTTCTAGGGCAGTGAATACACGACTGCTCCCGATCAGACCAGTTTTAATTATTTATTTTTTTGGATTTATCTGCATGCTATAATCTTAATTATTTGATAAATTTCCAACAATGATGAGAGCTGAGAATCTTAATTTGCACTATTAGAAGAAGAGTCTGTCTATAATTAAACATTGTTGACAATTCTTTGATTTGTTAAGATTAACTTGCCCATTTTTTTTGTAAAATTACCTGAAATAAAATTTTCTGACCTTTCTGCTTCATGTTTGTTTATAGCAGGCCTTATCCCAGTACTCTTAATATCTCTTTCACTTAAAATAGAAATCCGGTCCCCTATATTTATTCACACAAATCAAAAACAAACCAATGACAACAAAACAAGTCTAATATCCAAACAAACACATCCCTTTGTATTCTTCTGTTTGTTATAACCACTAGCTAACTTTCAAAGTCTTCAAAACCCCGGACGGTGGTGGGCCCTACACTGGGGTCTCCGATGGCCGGATATTGAGATGGGGTGGAGGAGAGCTTGGTTGGATTGAGTACGCTTTTGTTACTCCAAAAGATAGGTAAGTTCTCTTTGCTTGGATTTGTTCATGGTGCTTGTGAAGGGTGTAAATTTATTTGTCATATGTGTTAGCTTAGATTATTGGTATAACCTAGTAAAATCATGTGTGTTGCCCATTTTTTAAAGCTAAATGGTGAGTCGTTTTTATTGCACCAGAACTCTAAAAGTTATGATGAAGATTACATGTCTATACGAAAATATATTTAGTATGATAAACACTATTTTATGGGTTAAATTATCTAACGTACGGAGCACTAACTTTTTAAGTTTATTTGAAATATGTCTCTTGTGGGATTTCATTCTTATTTATTTTGGTACAATCTTAAAGTCCTTTCGAGTATCACAACTCTGAAATAGTAATGACTAAGGCCCTGTTTGCAAATGGTTAATGAAGAGGGGGTTAAAGAGAAGGATTAATGTACTTAGTCCATTTGATAATCTGAAGGACTAAATTATTAACCCGTTAAATAAGTTTTATTTTAGCCCTTATGATCAGTTTTAGTGTTTGGGAATAACAATGATTTTGACTATTTTCTTTATAATTAGAAGAGTTAACTCTTATTCCATCTAAATAGGAGTATTAGTAAACCCCTCATTTTGAGGGGTTAACTCATTTTAACCCCTCTAGAAGGGTTAACTTAACCCTTCTATATTTTTTATGTTTGGCAAATTATGGAGGGTTAACTCATTTTAACCCTTATATAGATTTGTTATGTTTGACAGGTTAAGAAGGGGTTAAGTCTCCTTAACCCCTCACTTAACCCTTTGCCAAACGGTACCTAAGGGAATAAGGGTTTCCGTCCTGTACTCGATCTAGACATGTTTAATTAATAATGAAGCATTAAGAAAATAAGAAATTTATTAAATAATTTAATTGGTATTTAATTATTAAAATAGATCTATTTTATATTTATTTATTATTTTTGATCTATTCGGCCACATTAGCAGAAAAACTTGCCAACTTTTAATGACCCGGTAGAATCCCATGTCATCGGCAGTGTCATCGGCAGTTTTGTTAAAGTAAAAAAATCGAGGCTGCCATCCCTGCGCTTCTATACGTTGAAACAATTCTGATTCTGTTAATAAAAAAACCCTTCTGTATTAGTCTTTCCATTTATATATGCCTCTAACAACTAATTAAATTATTTTAATTGAACTGCTAATTAGAAAAAAAAATATGATTTCAAAATCAACTATTTTACTGATGTGACTGAAATAGGTCAAAATGATAAATAATTATAGGCTAGGTCTCTTTTAGTAATTAAGTACTAAAATTGAATTGTTTAAAATTTTTATTCAAGAAAAAACTCAAGCGGGAAGAGCATGCATAGGGGGAAAAAATAGTCGCATATAAAAATCGACGAGCGTCTTTCGAGTTTATGCGAAACATGCTCCCCTCCGATAGCAAGGCGACTACCTCTGCGCTCCTCATAAAAATTAGGCCCCCACAATACAAAACTCAAAACCCAAGGTGACAGGAGACCTAGAACCAAATAATTACACACATCTCAAAATCCAAGATGACAGGAGACACAGAATTTAATCGCGTAATTGTGGCTGCAGAGAGTACAACATTCTGATCACGATATGAATTAGGGGCGCTGCTTTTTGGCTCGCTCCTGCCCCAGCTCGCGCTCAACGCGCAGAGAGCGGAGCAGGGGGGTGGGCCCCGGGCCCAGCTATGGGGCCCCACCCCCTGCTCCGCTCTCTGCGCGTTGAGCGCGAGCTGGAGCAGGAGCGAGCCAAAAAGCATTTTTGATGAATTAGGCTCCATCGGAACCGACTTTAGACAAGTAGAGCGAAGCTATTAGCGGACTAGAAACTCCTAGTTAAGCGCGGTTCACACCAGATACTGTTTAAATCTTTTTTATATCGTTCCAATTTAATCGGATGCATGTCTCTAAAAAGATAAAGGTCAATAGTCGATCCCTCTGGATATAACATGTCTATCTCCAGTTTCTAATTATTAGGCATTACAACATTTGTGATGTTCGCCTGCGCATGCATGAACTGCGAAAGGAGCACCCCAGACCTAAAGGTTTACTTGGCTCGTACTAAGCCAAGATTCCTCGTCACCCAAAAAAAAAAGAATAATAATATTCAACCAACGACCGATCATCAAGCTCACCGGTTAATCCAAACTTCTATATTTGTTGGAAGTATTAGTGTATTATATAGGAGAATAAGACTGTTTAGGCATATCGTCTCTTATTCACGGTCATCACCGCTCATTTATTCCGTCTCATACTCTTCAAATCCCAACAACTGCGGACTCGGAAACTAAACCAACTTCACCCTCACCCGTTAGCATCCAATAAAACCCGAGCTAGCTAGCGTATAGTTTAGGAAACCGGTTCCATATTCACACCTGCTAGCATCTGAAGAAAAATCAATTAATACGAGTTATTGCATGGTTAGGAAACTGATGGGCCCGGCAACTGACTCTTCAACATGTATTAAAATGCATGGTCCTCAGAGAACCGGCGTATAGGGCATCGCTACGAAACTCAATGACATGGTGCAACCTTGGTGAGTGGGACCAACTACTGCAGGCGAAGGAGATCGACCTTCGTCAGTTGCTATATATGCTCAGATGCGCTCGTGCTCCTTTTGAGCCACCCATGAGTACCGCTGGCGCCCATGTGGCACGCTTTATTTTATTGTCAGTGTTGCATGGTTTAGATGTAGCGGAGAGACCACTACTTTTAATCTCAATTGTTGATTACTTAGTAGACGGTCATGTTACAATCTAAATCTAACACTCATCATACCCCGTGTATTGCGCTCATTCCTAATTTGCACTCAAAGAAAAAATCACAACCATCAGCTAGATAATCAATGATTATGATTATGTAGTGGTCGCTCCACTACATTTTAGATAGTGGAGAGGATCTGAATCTGTCTAGATCAGGTTAAAAGAAGGGTCGTGTTACGTGTAAAACATGGTTGAATTTACATGGTATGAATTCTAAAGGATAATTTAAAATAGACATAAATGGAAGTATATCGTCATATACTGACCCCAAAATTTTGAGATAAAGGAATTATCGTTGTCGTTATTATCACGGCATTAGAGTTTTGATGTGACGAAAATGACTATAATGTTAATTTGATTACATATGTCGATGATAATATATCTGGTCACTTTCCATATGCTTTCAAGTAATTATGACGTGGCACAGGGTACCTATCACGGCCTTTATGATGTCTCCAATGATATGGCATCTGCAGGCTCTTGCTATCATCTCTGAACTCTTCCATTCGAATCAAGAGTCATTTGCAATTATTATTATGGTTAAAGGTCCATTTTTTTTTTTTTTGAAGTAAAATAGGGCAGAATGCCCTATCATAAAACTATTATATACTGGGATGGATGACATACAAAAGTTAGATTTCTACCGATGATTTAGGGGCTAACTCCGAGATGGAGTAAATGCTAAATCATGGGAAGAAAGCTAAGAACCGATACATGAAACCAAAACAGACAAAATAAAAAAGACGAAGAAACAGAGGGAAAACATAAGGAAAGATGCTTGAAAATTACAAGGCCATCTGAGGAATAAGGCGGGAGCACCCCAATCTTTAGGACCTGTTAAAGGTCCATTTTATAAAATCAAAAGTCCAGAGTTGTAATAAGAGTTGGGTGGTTATAATTTTACATTGTAATATGTTTTTATAGATATAGGGTTATTTTTATGGTACTCGATATGGATATAGCATATGCAATAATTATTAAAGTATTAGTATTTTATCTCGTGCTAAGCAAGGTCGACATACAGATTCAATAGCTCTCTCCCAAAAAGATTCTCAAATATCCACATACATCTTCCAATACTTATCATGCTTTATACTCTTTAATACATTTATTTTTATTTATTTAGTATAATTTGAAATTGTCATATACATTAAAATGCATGGTATGAAAAATAAGACCAGAATTATTATATCGTTTCTTATACGTACATTTAAACCTTGGTCAAATATTGGTAATATATTAATTATTATGTTTAGCAATTCAAGTTTATCAAATCATATTTTTGGTAAAGCATTAAAAATCAACAAATAAGAATACACCATCAATTCATTCTTGCTTCTCTGCTTATGAATATATTATATTTTTTCTGTCTTCCCTGAGAGTTTCCTTGGACCTATCATGTGTATTTGCTCGTGGGCTAATAGGAATATATTCCATATCACATTGTTTTTGTTTTTGCAATATTTTTTCGACAATCTATAATCTTATTTCTATTACTACAATCCTGTGAAATAGAATCATTATTTAAATAACTCATAATTTTTTTTATTTTAGTCGAGGCCTCCTTAAGAATCCCAAGATCATCGCCTTCCATAGTATGAAATAGATAACTAGCTCAATGATTTAATTGTTGAGATTCAATATTTTACAGGTTCATAGAAAATTAAAAAAATACGCATGTATAGTTATTTTTATTGTTGATATTGCAAAAGTTACAAACTGAAAAAAGGAGGATGATCAGCAAGTATCAAAATATTCACATAAAAAAATTAAAATTGGATGAGTGGTTAGGTATCATCAATCAAAAAGTTAAAATCTAACATTTGTTAGTCATTGAAAATTAAGTCGAAATCCATGAAAAAAATAAAAAAAAATTTAATGAGATCAATCAAGAAGAAAAAAATAAAAGCTTTACAAATTGTTGAAGTTAATGTCGAAATCTAAATTTTTTTACCATGAAATTTCATACTGGCATCAATATTAGAACATTAAAAGTGGTCATTAAATTAAATTTAAGCAGAAAATGTTGGATTTAATCTAATAAATCTATTTGTGGGCACATATGATTAATCAATGTGTATTGCTATCTTTCAGGATAACCCATTAAAGTGATCAATTAAGTTGGGTTAATTTAGTATTTAAATAAGTCATGGGGTTATATGTGCAGATACCAGGTTGTAATTGTAATTTATTGAGGGGCTAAATTACAAAAGTACAACATCTATAAATAAGGGGTTATGGTCCCT